ATATACTAAATACCAAAATATACTACAGATAAAAACTTACACAATAATTTCGTACGAGACAATGTAGAAACAGTGACCTAAGAATAATTTTCATAATAATATATTGAAAGAATTAAGTGAACTTTGTAATAAAAGTGTGCCAGTCGTTCTTGATGATAAAAATTAGGGTAACACGAAAGAATCTGAATTGGTTTGGAAGCTACACCCACGCGTGCTCTGAAAACTTTTAGAACTGTTGACGTTGTCGATGGCTTTACGAAAGTACGTCTTGCAAATATTTAAAGTGCGCTAGACCTAAACTGTGGATTATGGCACAGAAGTAAACAAAATTTGTACAGATGTTTGTTCATCACGCTAGATGTAAACATATAGAATGTTTCACACAAATGATATTAATTAATCATATTAATCAAAATAAAGACTTGTGAAGATGATGCGTAATAAGTAGTTAGGCTGTAATTAAAATTAAGTGTGTCTGCGACATTTACAGGTTTAAAACATAGGAGGTTGTTTTTATGTCAAGGATCTCACACTATTATAAATATGATTGTCAAAACAATGGCACAATATTCGTTCGACCGTTTGCAATTCAACAAGAGTTCGGGATTATTGATTCAAACAACATATTTCTTATACCCCTTTCGCAATGCAATTTTATCCAGTTTTATTCGAATAACTTCCGGTTGCTTTCACACTGGCAATAAACTTATTCGGTTATGATCAGAAGTTATCCAGACAGAAAAATCTACCTCCAGAAGTGGATAAGAATATCACGTGAGGTATAAAATGGCGTCTCCTGTTAGCGAGAACTTTATAGTGGAAATACTTGAAAATCAGAAGAGAGTTAATTAAGTACACGAATATACATGGGAAGAGAGCACGGAAAACTATATTATTGTTATACTATTTTAATGATAAATATTTTATTTCAATTCCGTCATCTGTATGACGTGTTACTAAAAATATAAAGTTAACCTTTTTCGGCAAGGCGGAAGCGGCTAACCAGATTACAGTGCGAAAGCAAACCGAACTGAATAATGCCTCTTATTGGCTGTTGTCACTGGCGTACAATCCAATCAAATCGTTGCAGTCCGTGATACAAGAATAGTGAAGGTGGTTTTAACTGAGATACGGCATTCTGTTATTTACATATATTTTGACTTCGTTAAAAGATAAGGCGAAGTCAAATTCTTAAACACAAGGTTCTAATAACCTTTTTATTATTTTTCAATTAAAAAACCATTGGCATAAATGGTTATGCACAAAAACATTTCCATACAATGTGATCAAATTTAAAACATTTTTTTACTTATTTGCCTACATATTAAAGTGTTTTTAAGTAGAACATAACGTGCGTTAATGGAGATTCTGGCTCTCAGAGAAGAAAATTGTACTTTAAAACATTATTAGAATAATTATCATGAAAATAAATTGAAATGAAATTTTGTTATAGCGGTAAATAGGTATTATTATACAGAAAGTATTTATTATTCATCATTATTGGTTTATAATGATATATCATACAGCGATTTCACAACCAGATTTGAAACAATTTCATCTGATACAATATTCCGAAAAAATGATAATTATGATATGAGAGAAATAAATAGAATTTAACTTCAATGCTGCAAAAGGTATCTTCAAATAATTCTAAAACTTAAAGGGATTGTAACGAAGTTTTCTAAAAAAAAATTGTGTATCGGGGACACTGATAGCATCAATTTGCACTAAAACTAAGGGTTTAATGACGTCACTAATCACAAAATACGATTTATCACGTAGTGATTTCTCGATTAGTGACGTCATAAAACGCTTAGTTTTAGTTTGCCGGAATCAGAGACGTCTGATTGAAAATTGGAATGATGCTATCAGTGTCCCCGATACAAGTACAAAATCGAAAACAACTTCACAACCCCTTTATGCACAAGGGTATGTGGCTGTACTTAACATTATATCATAGAGAAAAATCTAAATTAAACATGTTATAAATGCTGTATTGAAGAAAAATATTGAATTTCTTTAGTCGCCTTGAGTACAAATACAGTTTAATAACCTACATATAGCTTGTATTAATCAGATTGTGTTCTCTGGTGATCTTTAGATGAGTTTCTGTCTGGTAGAAAATAGATAAAAACCACAGGTGGCAATGATTCTACAAATTGGTCTGTTGGACAGACAGATGACAGAAACCAGGTGGTTTAATAATATATATGATCACAAATTCTGACATCTGTGTTCAGTGAATTTTGTAATTTGTAACATAGTGAACATTTTTGTTCTTTTTAGTCTTGCACAATCGTGTCTACCATTTAAACAGGGGATATGAGAGGTTTAATACAGTGATAGTCAATAAATTGTGGCACCCGGAGTTAAAACTAGAAAAACCACAAACAAAAAAACGAAGAAAATCACTTTAAAAGCATATCATAGTGCTGCCCTCGCGATTTTTATGGTCATGATATATTGAATTTTGAGATTTCTGGAAAAGACGGAATTTCGTAATTTTATATTTGTAACCGTTTGATGATGTTGTTTTAAGTCCTTTCTTGTCGCGTTTCTTAAAGGTTTGCTCCCCCTCAAAATTAGCTTAAAATGTTAACTCTCAAGCGTGACCAATAATATTTGAAGCGTTTTTGAATAATTGCTTGTGGTTGGAATTCTGCTATAATAATAATAATAATAATAATAATAATGTTTATTCGGTAATCAGGCCATATGACCAAGAGATACAAATATATATATAATATACATGTACATGTAAATAAAATCTTGAATAAATATAAACGGAATAAAAAAGATTTAATCTTAACAGTGTTATATTTCTTTTAACATGTTGATGCAGGTTATCCGACAAGTAGGATTCTTGATTTAAGTTTAATTTAAACAAACAATACTCCTTAAGGCTCTCGCTTTTATGAATCTGTTCGGACCATTTCTGAACGTTGATATCAATGAGGCGTAATTTGATAGTGTTAAGAAAATGTGCAGAATTGCCAACTTCCTGAAAATGCCAAGCATATCCATGGCCAATGGATAATAATCTAACTTTGGTGACCCAGGTTACCCTACCTACAGAATCGAGCCTCTTTAACATACAATACACTTGACTTGGTAATCTAGTATAATCTAACCTTATGAGTCGTATCCAATATTTGATGACTTTTAGCATATAACATACGGCCAGTTCTTAACGACCCCACTCTCCAGTTGCACCAGCTGAGGAACCGCTCTTGTGAATTTGAAGGGAACGTTTGCAAAACTGTGACTGAACAACTTCTATGTCTTTTCTATATTCATATCCCCATATTTCTGCACCGTATAATAAAATTCTGCTATATATGTAGTTATGACACCAGATAAGTCCATTGATAAATATCTTCTCTTAAAGGCTATTATTGTTCATTCTAAGACGTGTAAAGCTTATACCGGATAAATTTCGTCTGTTTTACTTTGATAAATTTTGATCTGCCCAAGAGTCACAAATTGATTCTAAATTATACCTAAAATAGCCTGTGTACTATTAGTTAAATTTTAACATTAACAGCAGTGGAATGTTTTAATGAATGCATATTTAGGTTTGACATTTGGCATATGGTGATGAATTTTCTCATTTTTGTTCTGAACATTTTTTCAAGGACTTGTTAATCAATCAGTTGAAATAGAAAAAAAGATAGTTTTCCAGGCAAGGTAATATACGCCCACTGGAAGCTTTGAATTTAGATAAGAATATTAATACATTTGATGTGGACGTATAAAATAAAAACATTTTTCATCTGGTCTTCTCCATCTTATTATAGTTTATTAATCAAAAGAACAAAAATCGTTTGATAGATTTTAAATCAAAGTACTTATCATTAGATTTTGTCCTCATTCTGTGACACGTCTAATATGATTTATATCTCTTATTTCATTTGTGGGCGTTTTGTCTGATATCATGAGAAACGCAGATCAGTTTAAGACCCACGTAAAGTTTGAACACATGCGTGGCGTTATTTTATGCTGAATCTGTTTATCGAATCTGTCTGAAAAGACGAATTTCAATATAATAAAAACTTTCCACCAAAACAAGATAAATAATGCAAATATCAATGAAGTAGCTTTATTGACTCCATACATTGCAAAACCAACATGGGATTTCGGTATTTTGACAATGATGTTCAGGCCTAGTAAATAAAACTGGCCAACTGAAGCTTAACTATGACTAAATTTAATATTTATATCGGTTCACGTTATCTTTTCGCAAGTAGAGTTTTGGTCATATATCATAAAATAATAGTATCAAGAAACATATTGTGGGTTCATATCTTAATCCTTGACAACTGGTAAAGATAGGGTCGACTTGCTGTAAATTAATGCGCCTTTGTGTACCATGCCAATTTTTAGGCACAGGTAATTCGATTAAGACGAGACCAGTCTATGGCGTGGCAATGGTTAACACAATAATTTAGCTTCAATGGTACAAATAGTAGCTAAAAGTAATTTCCACAAAAGGTATATAAACTTACAAGACAAACAGCATGTTGTTTTGTTGTATGTTACACTTTTTTAGTCAAGAAGATTAATTACTATTTCATAATTCGGTATTGAATAAGTTTCATAGTTGGTAATTCTCATTTAATCTGTCATAATCTTTTTATGTTACCATTGTCGATTGTTAATCAATTATTGTCATTGTACAATTTTATTATAAATACGGAATATTATGTTTATGGGCATCTTGGATTGACCAGATCACCTATACAGACGGACAACGCCAATGTATTGTAAATATTGTAACCAGTTATTATAAAACAGTTTCACGTGCTTTTCATAGTTTTAGTGTAATTCCTCACTACTACAATAGCTTCTTCGTCATTTACAGCTGTTTCTTTCCAATTTAACATAAAGTCCAGTGTTGTGTTCGGCATTGTATTTTTATAATATTCTAAACAGAAGGGCCTTATCAGCATTATGATACCATTTTGGAGACAGTACATGTTCTATGTTGCAAAGGAATTTTTCTATAAAACAAAAACACATCGTCCACATAGAAACACTTCCTCTGTTTGGTCTGTGATCCAAACATTTGTTTCATACTTTCCCTGAAATTATAAACAAAACCAATATGTCCATATCACATTATTTTGATATTTTCGATTTTGAATATTGTTGGCAAAAGTTTCATACGTGCACTGTAATGATATCCTCATAATTTCAAAAAACATATTTCTAGGAAACATAATGCGAGGGGCCGAGTAGGGACCATATAATTTTTCAGTGACCTGCAGGTTCATTCTTTCACTATGTAAGTGCCTACTGAAATGTTCCCTCTGTACTACAAACCACCTAAATAACCTCAATCTCGATTAAAGTAGGGCCAAGAATGGGCAATAATCATGAAGTAATGAATTTTATAGAGCGAAACGCAGCTATTGAATGTAGAACAATATTCGGTGTAGTCAATATCATGAATCGTTTTTTTCACAACTCTTGCTTTTCATTTGGTAAAATGTTATATATATCTCCGAATATACATCCCAAATGAATAGTTCGCTCCTTTCTATGTAATGAATTAATCCATCATATGAGCGTAAAATTGCTTTTCCGGTTGGCCGGTTGGTTGGTTTTCAAAACACAGTTATATTGCCACTATACGCCATTCTGCTAATATTATCAAAACATCCACTGTAATATGAATGCCTTGTTTGTTCTCAGGTGGCAGCACGAGGCCATCGAATGTGTGTCACTTAATTTTGTCACTAATTACGTTGGTAAAGCTACATAATAGATGACATTCAATGTTGTGAAAATGTGATCTTGAACAATTGATTGAGGCAATTATGGTTTCAGCACAATTTTACAGTTTAAAAAAGAAAATGGTTGGTTTTTAGAAAATACAGATCAATTTAAGTATGATAAATGAAGATGAGTCTTTATATCATTATGGGAAACACGATGCTGTATCACGTGCCAAACTGTACATTGTGCGATTGTCAACGATAACAAGATCTACATTATTTCCTGAAATAATCAACCTAATATTAATGAGTTCTATTTATATATCAAGAATTTAAATCATATGTAACTAACATTAATCATGACGGAAAAAGCTTGTTGACAGTTCACTCGAAAGGATTTTTAACAGACTTATTACATTGAAAATATCTATAAGAGTTCAAAGTTCAAAATAATTCGACAAAAGGTTTTTGAATTATCGTTTTTGATGTTTATTTTGCAAAATATTTAGAAAATGGATAATATTATGGAAGAGATTCGTTTCTAAAGAATGGAAAGTCAAGAAGACATAGTTGCTAATGATAATAATGCAAAATTCACAATTCATTTTCAAATGTTTGAAAGTACTTTAGCACTTTGTAAAGCGGAAATATGACTTTGTAAAAGTGATGCCTTGTTTACAAGTTAGACTGTGAATATTTTTGGCAACGAATCCCTACCATAGAAAATGTATTGGACAGTATTATATTAAGAATTCAAAAGAATGTAAATAAAATAAAATCAAATATACCAAAATTTACTTTTTCCATTAAATTACAACAAAAAGATATTGATAATGCCAATACGCGTATGTCATGAAAATGTTTTATAGTTTGAAAACACATTGCTATAAAAGTAAGGACAATTGCTGATTTTTTATTATTAATTTGTCGCTTTTTTGAAAAACATGTTTTTACGAATGTGAATATTTCATATAAGAATGTTTTTTTGACACGATAAATTTGATTCCTATTGATATCATTTGATTTATATCGTTGATGTTACGTCTATTAATAAACAGGAAAGCAAATCAGTGGTGCCCTCTCGAGAGTGGGGGTACATATAGAGGCCGACTGGAAAGATAACTGTCAAGGTTGAAATACAAATGGTTTGTGCCCCTCATTTCTTTATAAATCAGAGTTTTGTTATCTGTAACGGGATCAGTGTGACTCACCTTGGGTAGGTAATACGGGATATTCCTATCTTGAACAAAGCTGTGGGGTCCCTTTGCTAAAGGACAAGCAACTAGTCTTTGATCTTCTTCATCTTCGTCATCTTGAGCGAGTTCACACAATTCCCAATGGTTATCGTATAAATCTTTATCATTATATTTCACATCAATATAGAATTCTCCACCAGTTACATTGTATTCTGAAATATATTAACAATAATAATAATAATAATAATAAAAATGATGATGACAGTATTATCCTTATCTAGAATCTTATTAACAGAGGTAATTGTCCTTGGAATCGATGATGATTGTGATGATTATGATGAAGATTATGATGATGATAATGCTAAGATCTTTCATAGAAATCATGTTACCAGAGGTAATTGTCCTTGGAATATAACAAAATGTAATTATATACATAGAGAAATATGATATAAAAATTGGTGAGAAGACATATTACAAATTGACATGATATAAAATTATAAAATGATACAAATTATATGTTTTGTGAGATGAAAAATAAAATGGATCATGGTCGATAAGAGTACAAAGATAAAAATATGTCATATAATAAATGTAAGACAATGTTAAAAGTGCATCAGTTCCTTATGAGGAACTTATTTATTCCACCTGAATGTAACTGGTTAAGGCTATTATTTAAGGTAGTCTAAAGACCTGCTGCTAGTTCCTTACAAAATCGATATAAACTATTGATTTTATGACTTAAAATAATTGTCACATGTAATAAACAAATATTAGTCCCACCTTGGACATAAGGTCCTTAGTTGAAGAATATCAAGAACTCGGTAAGATGCAATAGCACTAGCATTATGTACCTCTCCGAAATACGATATTAGTCAGAGTCCTCTAAAACAAACAGGTTTGTTTATATAACGTAACAAGGTACCAGTACTAGAAAAGTTTTGAATCGGGGTCTCGGAGCATTGTCTGTGTAAACGAACCTGTAGAAAAGTTCATGTGTGTTCTGGCCATGACCCCGCCATATTTAGGATCTGGTAATAACAAAACATGACCAATCAGCAACCGCTTAGACTTTTCTGTAATAAAGCACATACATATTTTCATTATTAACACAGAACAATTGACGTTAAGTAAAGCACAGGTCACAGTTACCAAGACGTTTGGAATTTCGAATGCCATCAAATACGTTTAAAAGTCGGAATGGGCTGGCTTCCTTATCATTGAAAAAGTTTCAATCGGTATTAGTGATGTAGGTTGTTTTTGGTAAAGTGAAAATCACATACATATTATGCAGTAGGCGTTGGAAGTTGCATATCTCTAGCCTGTGAATATAACAAGTGTCAACGTCCATACAGCAAATGTTGTCACAACCCCCTTTGCACGGAGTGGAGATTCCAATCCTACGACAGTATTAAAGTTTATATTTATTATTAAAGGTAGAAAATCAGGAAAATAAGACCACAAATAACTATTTCTATAACTATAACTGATAATGTATATTTTGAATGTCAGAGGTCTTATTAATAGTTTCTTTTCAGCAATTCTATCAAAAATGAAAATTTTGAGTCAAGCCAGCATCAATTATTTTCTTATATCAATTCAGATTACTGCATTTAAAATTGTTGTGTTTTATCATGCTCTCCCTATATACACTTCGCCTAGGTTTGTTTATCTGGGACAGTTCGAACCTTGGTTTGCCCTTGTATGGGCTGTTCTGTGCAGATCTATCAGCTGTTATGAACCTATTGACCTATCTATCAACAAATATTTACCTGACCTTTCACTGATCACACACTATTAGGTTTATATGAGCGGTCTGATGTTTCTTTTTCAACAAATATATTTTCTAAGCTTACTCATCATGAAACTGTATCATATTTCCGTCAGCTTTCAATTTGAAACGGATGTAACCAAGTAGTATTCAGGGTCATTGACGAGTAAAGTTATGGTTCTATTGATGTCCTGTGTTTAAGCATGTTAATGAAACATGTCTGTATTTTGGACCTGTTTTATTAAGGAGGGAATTAACCCTAACTTAGTAGTAACCTACAGAACAAAATACCCAAATCTGCGTTTCAGTCAGATTGATTTCGTAGTGTTATTCAAATTAGTTTAAAGATGGGTTCCCTTATCTTCATTTATAAAAGTGAAAATGCTAATACCTATATGAACAGAATGTAGAGGTAATCTAATGACTTTGAAAAATACCAGTTTTTCTCACATGTCCATAATTAATTCATAATTAGCTCAATTAGAAGAGAATTACCAGCAGAATTCCAATGATCAATTAAGGTCAAAAAGTCCTTTTTTGTTTATCCAGACTGTGCACACACGAGCATTTATGATTGGTTAAAACTCTTAATTATATGCAATAAGAACATAAAGATATGATTAAGAATACATGATAATTCATGAAAAACACCAATTTATCAAATAGTTTGCTTAATTTGACACTAAAAAATAAGGAAACCAATGTTTAATAATTCAAATTTATTTTACACTCTATCCTTAGAAAGTGCCGAGACCGACCACGGCTTCCATAGATGTGACTGAAAATGAAAAAAATGAAAGATTAGGTGTCTCACCACACGAATTGTATATCTCTCCAATAGACACATAATTATTGGCTTTAAGAAAGGTCTGCCAGGTGTCGCGGCCTCGAGACTGTTGTTTGGAAAGATCACTTCGTCCTGATTCACTCGACTCCTGTCCCTTGCTCTCCTCAGCAGTTCGTACAGATTTAATCCCATCTGAATCTTTCAGTTCTGAATTATTATCCGATTTTCTTTTAGACGATTTAAACTTTTTTATTTTTGATAAATAGTCTATAGAATCAGATTCTTGACTTTGAAAAATTTTACTATTCATGCGCAGTAATTCGTCTGTTGGTGGTCGCTGGAAATACGTCACATACAATACAAATGTTAATATCACAATAGTAAACAATATCATTGAACAACATCCTTTTTTACCGATATAGAATTTGTACGGAACCATGGTACTTCCGGTAAGTGACTCCTTTGTCATCCTTTCCTTGAGGTCAAGTGATCTTTTTCCTTGCACCAATTAATATATAATATCTATTGACTATGCATTTCGATGAATACATCCATCAAAAGGACGAAACTAGAGTCGAATTAAGATAATGCACATCCCTGCGTTCAACTGGACCGCTTCTTCTTTCTCGCGATATAAAGTAGTTAAAAATCAGCTGATTGTATACCACTTGTAAGCCAAGTTTATCAGCACGAGATAAACTTTTATTATCATCCACTATTGTGAGTAAAGTCCAGTTGCCTCCTGTGTAAGTTACCAGTATAGAGTTATTAAGAGGCCAATTACATTTGAGCAAACTTCCACTAAACGATGGATCGTCCTTTTAAAAGTAAAATAATTAACATTTCAAATTTGCAACAATTGGTTCTTTCGACATATTGTTGTTTTCTGCAACATCTCATTTACTTAGGTGTCAATCTTTTACTGGTAATATATCAATTGAGATATGAATGTTAGAGAGAATCACCTGATGAAAATGATGATATATATTTATTTCTTTGTTGAGTTTTCTTTTGCCAGTTACAGCAATGATATACAAAAATGTATCTGTTTATCTGCCCACTATGTAAGAACAAGGCTGAAGAAAACAAATGAAAGTGTGAAAAACCCCTCGCCAACACCCCCACCCCCCATTCTTCAATGCGAGAGGCAAAGGTTTTGTACAGTGCAAGTTCTCGTCGTTTTTAAACGACTTGCAAGGTAAAAAATTCTACCTGTTTTACAAATGTGGGTTTTACTTTGGCAAGCAAAAGGTTAGATGTTTGCGAAAATTGCCCTGGACAAAATGTTGATAGCGTCCTCTACATCTTCAAAATAAACAGCTAGATTTCGTCCCTCTATAATGTCTTGTGCAACCAGTTACATTCTTATTTGGTGAGTGACGTAGGTTTAAGACAAAATAATCTCTATTATTCTGATATTCATCAGTCATTAGCTCATAATATACACAAAAATATCATGTACAATAGCAAACACTTTCACTGTTAAAATAGTGCTCAATTCATTAATTTTTAAGGGATATAGAAGACCACTGATAAAATAGTGCTCAGTACATCAATTGTAGAGCGATATAGAAATACCACTGTTAAATTACATCAATTATAGTACAATAAAGAAATACCACTGTTAAAATAGTACTCAATACATCAATTGTAGAGCGATATAGAAATACTACTGTTAAAATAGCGCTCAATACATCAATTGTAGAGCGATATAGAAATACTACTGTTAAAATAGTGCTTAATGCATCAATTGTACAGAGCTATGTAGAAATATTCACTCTTAAATTAGTGCTCAATACATTAATTGTAGAGCGATATAGAAATACCACTGTTAAAATATTGCTCGATACATCAATTGTAGAGCGATATAAAAATACATGTACCACTTTTCAATTAGTGCATCAATTGTAAAGCGTTATGGAAATATTCGTTATTAAAATAGTGCTCAATACATCAATTGTAGTTAAATATACAAAAATATTACTATAAAAATACATAAATACAGAGATAATAAACATAATGTTGTTATTTGTTAAAAGGGAAATATTATGATCATGGGAGACGGAAACTGTGAAGTGTATATCACCGATGAATTTCACAGTTAAGACAGTAAGATTATAGCAACACGCCTAACTATATTGTTTAAAGAAAATACCCGTCAGAATCAAATATGAAGTTCATCTCCACTTATACAAGACTATGCAATGTTCTATTATAAGCTCCAGTGTCAAAAACACACGAATTCTGATTAAGACCTTTCTCTTAATGGCCAATTATTCATTTGTTATTTCATTAACATTGTGGAGTTCATTTTGGTTTTTTACATTTAGGATAACATTTTAAAACATGGTAACGATAATGTTCATTTTAAACTCTGCTTTTAGACCAAAATATTAAAAAAAAAAATACCAAATAAATAGACATTTACTGACACTTCAAATCACGGACCCAGTAAATTACATTATATAATGGTTAGAATATTAATTTCACAAGTATGAACAAAATATATAAAACTTTTCAAATTATCAATTGAATTACATGCTCAGTAATAAATGTAAATTTAGAGTTTAAACGATAGTATTTTCTAAATGATTATAAGTATCTTCAATTTCATCTTTATACAGACTATTCGCTCCAACAGAGTTGTCGGCCTTTAATTGTTGGTTCAAATCTACATTTTCATAGAAATCGCCAGCCGTTAGTAAATCAGCAGATTTGGGTAACTTATCTTTCATTCGCGGTGAAGGTTTTGGTGTCTTCACTTTTGGTATATCTGGAATATGACTGTAGGTATTCTCTCTATCTACAGGTGAATCCATAATCACAAGTCTGTCGTCGATGTGGTCATACTTGCCCTGAATGGATTTAGGAACTTTTTGAATTCTGTTCATTTCAATATGACTGTATTCGTCCGCTGAGGGATTTAAGTTGACCTGTGGATTATTAAGGTCCTTTGGCTGGTTTTGGTTTAATGTAACGATGGGAACACCATCAGTAGAATTCTGGTTATACCGAATTGGCTTCAGTTTGGCAATTGGTTTCATGTAGTTCCCAGACGGTACTTTATTCCTGGCTGTAATCGGTTCAATATTATCACCAATATGGTTGTATGTGTCCTCCATGAGGTCGTCGGTATTTGAGACGATTGTAGGTGTCGAGTTCGACTCTTTCTGTTCTTGCGTTACTGGTTTCTGATTCTCTTCGTTTATTTTTCTTGGTTCAATATACAGCTCATTCGCTTCTGGTTTCTGGAAAGCATCAGTTTCCACAGTAGGTTTGGAATCATCTTGAGCATCAGCTTCTAACTCCAAATAAAGATTCGGAGAAGCTATTGTATTCGCATTTGGGCTCTTGTCAGCTCCTTGTTGAGCGTTAAGTTTCGGCGAATGTTGACCACTGTGTTTGGCTTTTGAATTTTCTGGTTGTTTGTCTGATGTGTTCGTTTCTTTGGAAAGATCCAGATCAACATAGTTATAATGTGCATAGTCACCAGCATTACCCTGAGAAGACACCGGTTGCTGTTCTTCTTTTCTAACGTTTTTCAATTGTCTTCGTTTTCTGAAAAATATTTGATGCACTTTATCTAAAAGAATTAAGAATTAAGATATTCAGTATTATTGTTATATGTAATATTATATGCAATATGGTACTGGCGTGGCCACCCTATACAGTTTGCATTGGTTTTGAGTTTATATCATTAGAATGTCAAACTCGCAAATGGCTGAAAATGATCTGATTTTAATCATTTTCGGTTATACATCATACGGTGAACTCTATGAGGTGTTTATCATGCTGATAATAACAATCCGTATAAGCAAGACAATTCCGTTAATCAAAATCTCGTTCAAAGTATGGAAAAATTGAGAGTAATTAAAACACCTCTACTTTCTATTCTATAAGTATTAGCATTTTTATTTTCATAAATGAAAATAAGGGAACCCATCTTTAAAAATATTTTTTAAAATTATTAAAACTATTAAAATATTCTATCTTACCTGACTAAACAATATATTCCAATGCCTAGAATTACTAGAATTATTATAGTAGCTATTATTCCACCAAACATAGCATTAGTTTGGTTTAGTTTCTCTTCGTATTCAGCCTTAGATATAACGTCAACGTTATTCAAACTTTGATTAGACGCACCGCGGCCACTGTTTAGATTTGTGGTTGATGAATCTGTTAAAGCTCGAGAATGATGTGATGTTGAAGTCGGAGATACATGGTCACTGTTCAGAGCTGTAGTTGTTGTAAGATTGGATGATTTAGTAGAAACGGGTTCTAGAAATTAAATGGATTATTTGGTCACATTTAGGTTTCCATTCTCTAACAATATTGAATAAATAGAACTAGAAAATAATTGTTATCAAAGAATATGTTACACCAATTATTGTATTAATAACTGTATCATTTCCAATATTTCTACATTCTTAAACTATACGAACAGTGGCGGAACCACGTCCGAAGGGGGCGGGGGGGGGGGGGGAGATTGTCCGAATCTCTAACCTAGCTATGAGATTTTTGCCCGTAAAACTTTATTTCGGGGTTGCGAGGGGGGCGACTGCTTTAGCTCCGCCACTGTATAGGAACCCTCTAAATGTTTTCCATTGTTCATATTTATCATTATACCATCACTTTTTTATTCGCCTTATTCAACTTCGCCCTTCGATAGTATTTTTCACGGTAAATATTCTATTCGTAAATTTAAGTGCTTGGGAACCATTATTTAGGATAACGATATATTAGTAGTATATTTATTAGAATAATGTATATATATATATATATAAATCTTACCTGAAATTTCTGTACAGCCTGTACAGTTTATATTTAAATCATCTCCTGAATATGAAAATTAATACAGTCAAGTAACCTAATTTCGTGCTATCCTATTTTTCGTGCATTTTCGGAAAGGATGAATAATTAACATGTGCGACCTTGCGTGACCTGTGCATTTGCTTGTTTTGATAAACATGGGTTATCTGTACAATGTCAGATAGTAGAATGAATCTAGTAGTTTCAAGCAAGGTAAAATGTATTAATGTATACTTTGACAAATACAAAATGGCGGATTTCAGTTATTACCAAACGTCACAATTTTTTATTGGCAGATTTTCCTTATAATCCCTAGCTGTAATCGGAATTCCAAGTGTCGTCTGCTAGAATGTAGTCACGTGATCAACTAGCGGATTCCGTGTCAGCAGAAAAATTCTATGTAACACAAAGCGGGCCATATTCTTATGTTGTTTCAATGACTTTTAGCAATAAATCACGCTACGTATCATATTTTGTCAGTCACTATTTTTTTTTTAAATCGTGGTTCTTTGAAGGAATTGTCACTAGTTCTAATAATTGATATTAAAGATAAATACTAAGAGAAGTTAATTATACCACCCGGTATCCATACAACGTGTTTTTCTAGACTTATTTATAGATCAAACATTGTACACGAAAATAGGTGACACATTTTGCCGCCGTTGTCGAGTTGGTTACTCATGAAATATGGATCAGTGAGTGAGGGATTCATAAAGAAAATCGAACAAACCAATTTTAATTATTTTGTTGAATATCTGAGGAAACATCTAAGACATAAAAAAAAAATTCCGTTTTTTAAACTTTGACGAAATTCGATGTTGAATCCTTATATGCACGAAAATAGTTCTAATATAATTCTATATATATGATTCAAATAAAGCATTAGCCATTCTGACAGCAGAAAACCGCATTTGTCGCGCACAGAACAATATTTTCTGTGACCATGTATACATTTTATGATATTTTCTGTCAAAAACAAGCCAGACAGGTTAATGTGTTTTAGATGGGAGTGACCAGAATTTACAAAGTTGATTTAGTTCCATACATGCCCATCGAATGTAGATGACCTGCTTTCAGTCAAATCAGGATGCATAATTACAGTCAAGGAATCTATTATTTGCATCATGAGATCATTTTGAATGTTACTTTTTCAAGGGTGGCTCAGAGTTTTCATGTCATAATATATACGATATATTCACACGCTGTTTATCTTCTAAATGCTGACAACCTACCGTGAACTTTAAAAAACACTACTTCATCACCAGTAACTGTCATATTTCTTATTTTAATGTTCAGGACATTACTTTGAATATTCTGTGGTGTGGTATATAACTGTACATTCTCTTCTGTACAACTTATAAGCTGTGTATTAGGTAATATATTAAACTTGTTACAGATATTATCACCATGGAGATAAAATATTATAACTGTAAGATTTCCTGAATTTTTATATACAGAGCAATCACAATCTATAGTTTTATTGATATAATCAAGTCCTTTAAAATAAAACACAGGGTTTGAAAGTCTTTTTGTAATTGGCATTGAAATATTCTGAATATTACCTGAAAGACAAAACAAGTTATAAAAACTGCATCATTTGGTTGTTGGTTTTTCTTATAATGTTTCTCGAAAAATTGCTAACATACAATATATTACCAATCTGATAAAATAAACTGCTTCACCCCCCTCTCGTAAAATAAAACGATTTAAATCAGATTAACAAAAACTTGACGAAATTCAAAAAATGAAATAGAGATCTTATTCATCATCCATGACAATAACTTACTTTCACAAACATAAGGATATCTGACCAATTTAACATTAATCTCTCCGAAAGTTCCCTCTTTTACTGGGTTTATTATTATTGTACAAGTATTCTGTAAGGTACAGTTTCTATAGACTTCTACACGATCTGTATATGTTGTCATCACATTATAATCACTTAATCCACTATTACAATAATCCTGTCCATCTCTAATCAAAATACATGACTTAGAGGTATCATGATCATACGGTTTAGACTTTATTTGATTATAATTAAACTCCATTCTGATGACTTCATTCTCTTTACAGCTCAGTGTATGTTCTGTTAGTCCAGTCTCAAAACATCCACATACAACACAGTAATCAGGATCAACATAGGAATATCTCGTGTTACCAGTACTATAATATCTCTGTGTATATGAAACTTTTGTAGCTTAAAAGTCAAATACAAAAGTCTAATACAAATTTAAGTATGCAAATAAAATATATAAGATGCTATGCTTGACAAAATATTATCTGCAGATAAAACGTAACAATTCAGGACGATACAAATCCATAGATATGTATAGATCTTATGATATAATTCGAGCCGGCTATCATTTTAAACATTATATAAACATATAAACATATGAACATTATAACATTATAACATTATAACATTAATATTTGTACTAAGCATTAAATTTAAACAGGTCTGAGGTTTACGTTCGAAGCAGTCTCGGTTTGAATAACTAAACAATGATCATAACTACTAAACTTAATGTTCCTTTGGTATTTCCCTTCAGCAATATGGCTATCAAGATGGATAGATATTATTGAAAATATCATTACTTAACTGTATTTCTTGTGTTTAGTTAGCTGATAAACAATCTCTTACCTTGTATGAAGAAACATATCAAAATCAAAAACAACATTTTAGGTTCAACTTTTAAGTTCCCCATAATTCCACTGAGACGTTCTACACTACAAATTTATGATATGTTTAATAGTGAAATAATGTTCAATGATTATAGAAAGATCTGTTCTTTCACAAAATTGTTACCTATTAGAAATGATTAGCTGAAGTTATTAAGGAAAATCTGCTCACAAAAAAAATTCACATCCTTAATAACACGAATATAAATATGATTAGCGATTAAATATCAAAATTCTTTTATACTATAGTACACATTAAGTCACACTTCATAAATATTAACCTTAAATATAACAGTCCTTTTCTGTCCTCATTGTCAATTGTAGGTAGGTGTTCAGATACAAGGGCATGTTCCCAAGTGGGCACATTTGCAATTTCTTTGGAGACATTTGATGTGTTACAGGTTATGAAAAACGCCAAATCAACAACACTATATATACAACATCTCCTATGACTACAATATATACGGCCTTGACCAACACTGTCTCTGAGTACTCGAATAAATATTGGCAGCATCTATACTACCTGAGACCGTGCCTGGTATTCAATTCTTGTCTCACTTTTGATAACCAGGGACGTTTTCATGCTGATACGATTTGAGGACACATACAACACCAGGTTGACAACCACTGGTTGAAAACGAAGTAAGTGTAATGTGTGCTCAATATCATCGACAACATTGGTACCTGTATAATTATTTAATGAGAAACCAATTCTCCATGATAATACCTCCATTGTGATGATATACTCATATAGTCTTGCTTTAAATTTAACTGCTCGGGGTTAACCGACTGTATCACCTTCCTGTTAGTATTATTATATTTTTAACGATTATAACCTAATAGTATGTTATTAGAGTAGAGGTTTGGAGGAAAATAGTGCATAATATCTATTGACAAAATAATTAACTACACAGTAAACATCTCATATTCCTTCACAGCACGTTAAAATATAATTCAACAAATAAAAGCAAAAAAAGGAAAGAATGTCATTAAGCTGATTTTAATGCTGGTGCATAATATAATGTGTCTTTCTTTAATTTAACTGCTCGGGGCTATCACCTTATTTGTATTACAATTTTAAAAATTATAAAAAGTATTTTGTTATTAGAGTAGAGGTATTGAAGGAAAATAGTGCATATCTATCGACACAAGAATTGACTATACAGTAAATAATCATATCATATTCTTTCACATCACGATAAAATTATTTGGTTGTCTGACGCACTAATGGTCGTTCTGCAACCGTTGTAGTGTTCTTATACAACGATGTAATTATCACCTGTAAACATATAGCTTCAAATCAGGATAAAATGTTTCAACAAATCAAACCGATGTAGCCCCCCTTTCCCCCCTCCTTAACACTGCAGTCCATGTTAAGTCCGTTAGGAACAAATGCAAGGATGGTCTGCAATTATATTCATTCTTTTTTTGAGAAAAGAAAATTAAAACGTCAAAGCTGTTTTGTTTTTTTTCTTATTTTTCGTTTTATTTTATTCAATATGCATTAAATATCCTATATTTAACCGTGTCTATCGTGTACTATATAATATATAAATTAAGTGTTGTTCTTCATAGAGATGGTTCCTTTCTCGCCTATTTTTGTTATTTTCGTTTGATAAAGGGATTAGTCTCGTAACGTAGCTAATTGTATCGACTTTACCTATTGTTTGCACATTATCGTGTGATTATTTTTCCCTTTATTACAAGTCGACTCGTCGTTTTATATATTTTATATTATAAATTTTTGCTATACAATTTTTCTGTTTTTATATTAGATTTAACATATTCTGTTAGTATTATGTATTTTTCTCTGTGTATTATTAATATAATGTAATTCATTATCTACCTTTCGTTGAATTTTGTTATTTTGTAATTTTCTATCTTTTTCAAATGTACGATTCGTTGTATGAACTATGGTGCCTTTAATGGGCGTATTTGATACCATAAACTTATCTTATTTTATCTTATCTTATCTGTTGTAATTGATGAGTCTGATGGGGCACCGGGACCCCCCTACCCCCTCCCCCTGTAGGAACGCCACTGATCCTACCTTCTGATGACAGTTTACTTAAAGGGACAGATTTCAGGGGTCGATTTGAGTCTTGAATATATGTAAATAGTCTTCTGAAGTACTAGAAATTTACGAAAATCGCATAATTTCCTATTTCTATAGAAATTTTTTCTTTTCTATATATGGCAGTGTCTCATAAAAAGACGACTTGTCCTTTTTACGCGCATAATTTTTGACATACATGGGTTTGAGGACTCAAATTTCGACGGTAAACTGTGAACACCGTTACTTATTGGCTCAGCTAAAAAAAATCCCGTTTCTGAGATTGAGATATGATTGGTCACAATATGGCACATCTGTCCCTTTACAAGAATACCACCTTTTAGACCATTGGTAAAAGTTTCAATTTCAAAAGTTCAAGGGAGGTAACTTGTATTTTCTACCCCAAGGGAGGAACATCTTAACCATGTCATAATTCTTAAGTGTATATGGAATAGGAGAAAATAAACATAAGGGGGTACCTCCCTGTGCTGCCTGATTAATTTTAAGGTGAGAATCAGTCACCCTTGGTGACGTAGATAACAATGGAGGATTAACAAGGAAGTACACGGGATTATTACTTTGGACACATGAGTATGATAAATTACTTCCACAACCTACCCAAAATTGGTCAATGGAATCTGTAATTTCCGATATTTACGCAAAACTTCAAAAACTTGATGTTCTAGATCGAATTAACAATAGACTTCACACTATAGAATCTAGATTTCTGTCTTTGGAAACTGTCATGCAAGATATGCGACAAGGAGTCCGCCTACACTCGGAAAAATTGAACCATAACGGATGAAAGAATATCACGACTTGAAAATTAGAGTGATGATGCCAAAAGAAAAGGGTCCAGAAGAAAACGTTGAATCTAGTGTATTAAGTGTTTTATCGGTGAAGCCTTGAAAATAAACCAAAATATAGAATTTGAAGTAGTGCTTAGGTTGAAGCAAAGGTCGGATGGTAAACCAAGAAATATCATAGCTAAGTTCAAATAAAGAAAAGATATAGATTTAGTTCTTAAAGAGGCAATACGATGTTTGAGGGGGTGGGTTTCGCTGTATTTGAGCAGTACCCCACGGAAGTTAGTGACCGCAGGCGTCTCCTTGTTCCAAAAATGGAGGAAGCTTGAATCTTTAATAATTTAACAATTGATATAACAAGGTGCAAAACTGTGTATGATTTACCTGTTGTGTTGATCGGCGACTTTAACTCGCGGACAGGTGAGTTGGATGACTCTATGGTCATAGAATCTGAGATTTTTCGATCTATTGGCATAAACAATATTGACATTGATGTTTTTGATAATTTACACACTACTGACTTACCGCAAAGATGTAATCGAGACAAACGTACAATAACAAAAACTTGTGGAACTATGCAGAATATTGAGCTTAACCATTATAGTAAATGGTGATTTTACATAACAAAAATAGTGGTAAGAGCACTATTGACCATGTAATCACATCAGCAGAGTTACTGCCACATCTATTTAAATTCTGTATTGATAACCTTGACAAATGTTTATATAAATAAAGACTGCATTTTAGCGCGACGTTCGTACCTAAACAGAAAAAGAACTTTAAAAAATGATAAATCTCAAGAAGCCAAAAATAAACAAAACACATATCAAAGAATAATTAAGACATTATTTAGATATACGAAACGAAAATACTCCAAGAAATTGAACTTAGATCTGAAGAAATTGAAAATTCATAAACCTAAAGAATACTGGAGTATTCTTAAAAGTGCTTTTAAGACGAAACCTATAGAATCTAATCTCTCGGTGAATGATTTTGAATTGTATTAATTTCATGTGGGTTACTAGAACAGAACCAAACTGGTTTCCGAGGTAGATTTTCAACTACTGATCATATTTGTACTTTGCATTCCCTAATTGAACTTTATTTGAATGATCGTAAACGCATAAATTCTGCATTTCTAGATTACAAAAAATGTTTTGATCTTTTAGAACGTGCAGCGGTGTTCAATGAATTGATATTTAATGGAATTAATGGTAATATTATAATGTTTACAATATATACCTTCAGGCCAAATCTTGTGTCGAACATAAAAATGTAGTTTCAGATGTCAGGCGGGTGTACGCCAAGGTGAAAATCTATCACCGCTCCTTTTTGCAATATTTCTAAACGATTTTGAACATTTAATTGGCAAACATTACAAGGGTTTGGATTTCCTTACATCAGAAATCAAATCACATCCTAGTGATGAAGATGTAGATATATTTTTAAGACTATATTCGCTCCTATATGCTTACAACACGATTATCTTGGCTGAATATGACCTACAAGTAGCTTCAAACGATGTTTCGGAATATTGCAAACAATGGACCCTGCATATAAATGCATCAAAATCAAAAATAGTAATATTTTCTCGTGGTAAAGTTCGATCATTCCCTGAATTCAAAATGGTGATGAAAATGGAGAAGTAGTACCCGATTACAATCATCTGGGCGTAGTATTTAATTACAACGGTTTATTCAACAAACAGATAAACAAACCTGTTGTTCAGGCGAAGAGAGCACTTTATGCTTTAAATGTTAAATCCCAAAAAATTTTAACTTATGGAAGTGAAATCTGTGGTTTCTGTGATTCAAACCAAATTGAAAAATTTTATAGAAGTTTCCTTAGGAATTTATTGTGAATAAATACTAGAACTGTTAACTGTATGCTATAGGGTGAAACTGGAACTTATCCGATCCAGATTACAATTGATGTCAATATGCTCATGTTTTGTGTCAGATTAACTCAAGGAATGTTAAGTAAAATACCATATACTATTTTAGTTTAGCTCTTATTATACAATTGTATAATAATGAAATTTTTAAATCTAAATGGCTTTGTAAAATCAAATCAATATTGGATAACGTCAACCCTAAGTGGATAAAAACTGAGCTTAAACATCTTTTATGTGATATTTACAAACAAAACTATTGAAGCATTTTGTCATACAGCTCAGTGTATGTTCTGAATTTATATATTTTGTTTGAGTTTACATCCCCTCTTCTGTAACATAATTGCAATGACAATAATTCATTGTCTCTGAACGTTACAAAAACATGTATCTGTATCAGAAAAAAACACTACTACAACAATACCTTTAATATTGGTCTCTATTATACTTTTCGCTCTCGATTGACGAATTATAGAGTTTAACATGACTAATCTTGTCCTAAACTTCTGACTAAAATGTTTTGTTTTTCTTTCTTGTTTTTTCCTCAATAAATATTGACAGCATTAGCTTGTATGAAGATACATATCAAAATCCAAAACCACATTTTATGTTCAACATTAAAAATCCTCATAATTCGAATAAGAAATTCAGATTCATTTGATGCTTAAAATTGAAATAATGTTAAATGAAAGATCTGTTTGCCAACAATTGATATCTAGAAATGATATAAATAATTACTGTTTAATTTTAAGTTATGATGGACAATCTGCTCACAACAAAATATTCACATCCTAAATAACACGAATATAAATATGACTAGCTTAGCGATTTTATATCAAGATTCTTTTATACTATAGACAGCTAATTGTGATAATATACCCATATTATACTTTTGATTTAAATTAAATTTAGGGTTAACCGACTGTATCACCTTCCTGTTAGTATTATTATATTTTTAACGATTGTACCCTAATAGTATGTTATTAGAGTAGAGGTGTTGAAGGAAAATAGTGCATAATATCTATTGACAAAATAATTAACTATACAGTAAACATCTCATATTCCTTCACAGCACGTTAAAATTCCAACAATTTGATTGTCTGACGTAACCATTGTATTGTTCTTATACAACAATCTAATTATCACCTGTAAATCAGGAAGAAATTAAATAAAAAATACTTTTTGACGCTTCTTGATCGGTCACTCATTGCAATTCTGCTGGTAATTCTCTTATAATTTAGCTACTTATGAAGTCGCCTGCCCTTGTAGCTCCGAAGACATGTTTATCGGGCAAAAAAAACCAGGTTAGAAATTCGGGCAACTTCAGATATTTCGCCCCCTCGGACGTAAACCTGGCTCCACGACTGAAGAACGCTACCTAAAAGGCACAAAAAGATGTACCCTATCGAAAATATTTTAACTCTTGTGCTTAATTTTTTAGCTAGTTGATATGGATGAATGAAGGTTTAATATTTCATAATGGTGATTGGCTCTTCCAAATGCTGTTACAAACCTGCCAGTTGGCGTATATAACCTTTCATGGTAGTATATCTTTATAGAGACAAACACATGTTACATTGTACAATTACAATTATGCCTACAATTATTCCTGGTAATATATTATAAGCTGTTGAAAAACAATTACAAGTGTGGTAAAAAAAATTACACATGTGTTAAAAAGAATTAGAAGTGTGGCAAAAACAATTATACGTACGTTAAATACAATTACGGGTGTGGTACAAACTATTACAGGTGTGATAAAACAAATTACACGCGTGGTAAAACAATTCGTGTGTTAATAACAATTACAAGTGTGGTAAAAACTATTACAAGTGTGATAAATACAATTAAACGTGTGGTAAAACAATTACAAGTGTGTTAAAAACAAATTACAAGTGTGATAAAAACAATTACACGTACGTTAAATACAATTACACTTGTGTCCAAAACAATTACAGGTGTGATAAAAACAATTTAACGTGTGGTAAAAAATAACAGGTGTGCTAAATACAATAATAAGTGTGCACAAGAACAATAGCAAGTGTGCTAAAAACAATTAAAAGTGTACAACAAAAACAATTACACATGTGGTAAAAACAATTACAAGTGTGGTAAACACAATTACAAGTGTGATAAAAACATTTACATGCGTGGTAAAACATTTACGCGTGGTAATTCTCACTTTGGCTGTATGGCCATTTAGTAAGCAACGTGTTTCGAACGGAATGGATTTTTTCTTCTGAATTATTCCTGTCAAGTAAAAAGGCAGAATACAATCCAAAACTTACTTCATATATAAGATGATAGTTGAAATAGGATTGGGTTTTCTGGTGACTCGCCTGATGGATGGTGATCTGAAGGGATTCGAGCTTACTTACACAAACGAGGTAACAGCCAAACAGCTTAGTAAATATTTCTTCGGATTTATATAATGTTGAAAGTGTACATATTTGTTTATGATTAAGATTGGTAATACAGGTAAAGGCACATAATATAGTTCTGGAATAAGTGAAGAAACTCACTCACATAAACTAAAGGAAATCAATTATGTTGATATTATTGATAAAGTTTAGTCAAAATTAAATGCGATGGAATAATACCTCATCTAGACAGTGAATAATGCATTTAAATACATGTACATAAAGATGTAAACACAAATGTAAATAGAAATAAATTGACAAAACCATCAACTGGAATCCATTATGCACAATTTGCTCACAATAGCTAATTGCATAGATTCAAAAAGTGAAAGAAAGGGGTACATAGCCCGACTCCTAAATTCGCATGCGAATATATCAAAATTGCATCTGAAAATGACGTATTTAGTTCTGAGCTCGCCAATCGTTAACACTTGCCAATTGCACATTCTAGACAGTCTTTTTGATATCTAAATATATTGAATGGTAGTACAAGGCTAGTACAACAGACAAAACCAACACAATGTTGTTGCAATTGACCGTCAAACACAAAATCAAACATTACTAAGCTAACCAGCACTTGTAAAGGTTTTGGACCTAGGCCCATGCTTTCTATGAGTTAAATTCTCATTTCACTTTAACACTAAAAATTTAACTCTAGGTACTCTGGAATCTCTGTTTCGTCAGGTCGGCGAAACCCGACATTATCATAATCACTTTCCGGTGGCTTTTCTCGCTTACTGAAAAAAAAGAAGCGAACCATTTTTTTTCAAGGATAACAATTTCGGTTAACAAGGATCATTTCTACCAACTTCCTAGTTTGATCCTTTCCGGATTATCTGTATTGAATAACTGGGTTGAGGAAAGATGGTAAGGCGACATAGTCGCAAGTCTCTCATGAAGTCTCTAAGAGGTCTCTGATCAGACATTTTTTTGAGCAGTTTTTTAAATGATTTGATGCATTATGACACATATTTTAGGATAAAAAGGTAAATTATATTTGATTAATTAGCAACAAATAAAGTAGGGGTACAATTTGGGGTGCAAACCATTTTTCTACAGACTCTGTAACCCCACTACAAACGCTAAGTTTTAAAGGGATTGTATAGAGGTTTTCTATATTTTTTATGTGCATCAATTTGCACCATTCCAATTTTCAATCAGACATCTGTGGTTCCTGCAATTGCAATACAACTAATTGGTTGATAACGTCAATAGTGGCAAAGGGCTTTATGTGATAAGGAATATTTTGCGATTAGTGACGTCATAAAACGCTTAGTTTTAATGGAATTGCAGGAGCCGCAGACGTCTGATTGAAAATTGGAATGGTGCAAATTGACTCTATCTTGCCCCAAATACATATACAATTTTCAGTAAACCTCTTTACAATCCCTTTAAGCAATATAAAACCAAAATAATCATATAATGGACCAGTTCATAGTACTAGTACATATATTATTGTTCTATAATCTGATTTGACATATACTGTTACAATGTCTCTTTCTAATTTTTAGGATCAGAATATAACTTACCTGATGAAACAATAGATTCCTATTACCACTATATTGATAATTATTATACCAGCTAGAATTCCACCAAACATGGCGTAAATTTCCAGACTTGTGGTTGCTGATTCTGTTGAAGTAGGTGTTTGTTTTGATGATGAAGTTGACGATTCGTTTACTGATGAAGTATGAGGTGGGTTTTCTGTTGAAGTAGGGGGTGGGTTTGCTGTTGAAGTAGGTGATTGGATTGCTGTTGAAGTAGTTGATTGGTTAGCTGATGGGGGTGTTGGCTTTTTAGTTGTTGTTGATGGAGAAGCAGACTCTTGTAAAAAGATAAAGTTTTTACTAATACTAAATGTATATCAATACACTAATTTGTTAAATACATAGCATGCTGTTTAATACATAGGAATACTAGTATTATACAACAATATTTGTAAGAAACCTGAATACTTGAGCCACATTAGAGTACAGCAAATACAGTTTTTTCTTCAGGGTTCTGATTTGCTGTATTCGCTGACGTAAAATCAAATGAATCGCTACATTACATGGTACAAGAAAAGTAGCTATTGCATTCGAGGTATAAGATGCAGTTCATAATAGAATGACATTTTGAAGATGCATGACAATAGGCACAAACCTGTCCGGCTTATGTCCTGCCCTATCGAATACGGCGTCTGCAAATTTTATATGTGTTACATTATTCGTATACAAAGATAAAATGGATAATTTGTAAGTATTTTTGCTTACCTTGAATAGCTTTACAGCCCGTACACGTTACAAATAAATCTTTTCCTGAATATAAGAATAAGATACAACAATTTATATGCAAAACTGAAAATGTAAAAAACAAATAAGCAGCTAAAGTTAACCTCCTTGAATAAATCGAAAACAATAGATCACTCAAACATCGATAACAAACTAAAATAAACAAATCGTCAAGATGTAGCCTGTTAATGTTTACCTGTACTCAGATTCTGTATCATTCATTATTATTATTATTCCTCTTGTTATTATTCTCCTTGTTTTTATTCTCCTTGTTATCATTCCCCTTGCTATTATTCTTCTTGTTATTATTATTCTCATTGTTATCATTCCCCTTGTTATTATTCTTCTTGTTATTATTATTCTCATTGTTATTATTCCCCTTGTTATTATTCTTCTTGTTATTATTATTCTCATTGTTATCATTCCCCTTGTTATTATTATTCTTGTTATTATTATTCTCATTGTTATAATTCCCCTTGTTATTATTCTCCTTGTTTTTATTCTCCTTGTTATCATTCCCCTTGCTATTATTCTTCTTGTTATTATTATTCTCATTGTTATCATTCCCCTTGTTATTATTCTTCTTGTTATTATTATTCTCGTTGTTATAATTCCCCTTGTTATTATTCCTCTTGTTATTATTATTCTCATTGTTATCATTCCCCCTTGTTATTATTCTTCTTGTTATTATTATTCTCATTGTTATAATTCCCTTGTTATTATTCTTTTTGTTATTATTATTCTCATTGTTATTATTCTTCTTGTTATTATTATTCTCATTGTTATAATTCCCCTTGTTATTATCATTCCCCGGATATCGACTACTTACCGTGAACTTTAAAAAACACTACTTCATCACCAGTAACTGTCATATTTCTTATTTTAATGTTCAGGAACTTTGTTTTAATATTCTCCGGTGAAGTATAATTTTGAACATCATTTGGCGAACAACGTATCAGATGTTTAACGGAAAATAGTTGAGCATTTTCACAAATATTGTCACCATGGAGATGAAATATTTCAACTTTGAGTTGTCCTGAACATGTATATACAGTACAATCACAATTTATAGTTTTATGAATATGATCAAGTCCTTTAAAATAAAATACAGGGTTGGTGGTTTCCATTCCTAATAAGGTTGCAGAAATATCCAGAATTTTACCTGAAAGAGGAAGCGCAAATATTCAATCTTTTGTAGTTAGACTTATATAAGTTAAGTTTGCATGAAACCTCCATTGCATTTTGACAATCCATATTCCTAACTCGACCCAAGATCTGAAAACTAATCATTTGATGAATGAACCCTTGACACTCTTCATCACTTATAACTTGACAGAAATATTTGAGTTGAATAAAATAACTTACTATCACAAACATAAGGATATCTGACAAATTTAACATTTTCCTTTTTCACTGGTTCGAGTGTTATTGTAAAAGTATTCTGTAATGTACAGTTTCTGAAGTCTTCTTTACGATCTGTGTTTCTTGTGTCCAGGTTATGTTCACTACATCCATCCTTACAATGTCCAATAATTTCAAATCCTTTCTTAGAGATATCATCAGGGTCCCATGATTTAGACTTCAACAAATTGTTTTCAAACTCCATTCTAATAACTTCATTCTGTGTACAGCTATGTGTTTTTGGACCAGTTTTAAAAGATCCACATAAAATATGGTAGGGGTATGTTTGGTTATAACAACATGTCGTGTTATTGGTAATTATATATTCCTGTGTATCTGAAACTAAACATGAAATTAAACTCAAATTCGACAGATAATTGATCTATATGTATTGAGTGAATGAAAGAATGTTTCTTATAATCAGGACTAGAATCTGGTATTTGTTTGGTATTTCTACATTTCCTCTGTAACAAAGTTGCAGTGACCATGAACACGTCGCCGGAACTTTAAGTGGACAATACATGTGGACAATACATGTGGACAATACATGTATTTTGTCTGATAAAGAGCTGATATTGTCCCTTTCGTCATCATTAAAGCCAAACGAAAGATTACCAAAGTCTCAAAGCCAGTCGAACAGGACAAATCAAGTTAAAATATAATAAAATACCTCGAGAGAGGTATCAGGTGTTCCAGAAAGAGTGAGCATACTCTGCCTCGTGCACGACACCCGCCAATATCTAGCTAATCAGTTTCAAAGTTGGGGAAATGAGTCCGATCTAAATTGAATATTCCAGGAATAATATTAGTTACAAATTAGCAAATGGTGGTCTAAAACCCAACCTAAACGAAAACATCCATAAACAACTTTGACACTGTAGTGTTGTAGCGACCAACCAGATCCTGGTGACGACCATAAAACTTTTTCAAGGAAGAAACCAATCTAGGTTTTATGTAACCTTGTGTCAACAATTTAGAGGTCAGCAACGACGCTCTCAGTACAAAATCATCATATGCGGAAGAAGCTCTGGAATAACGTATCAGCTGGGAAACGTAAACGCCATAAGCGGGAGAAGTGGGAATATTGCTGCTCAAAAATTGAAAATTGACAATAGGAAATGAGAAGTCATCTCGTTTATCATACAATCGGGTGGACATCAATCCATGTTTGTCATGATTCAGTAATAAGTCTAATAGGAGGCCGAGTATTTCGACTCTGTGGTTTCCTGAGCTCAAGTATTCTTTATTTTATCCGATTACTGACCAAGTTGACTAGTGATAGACCTTAACATCATTGCCCTACCCATTAAAAATCAGACAAGTTCATTGTTTTGCGTCTTATCTCGCCTCCTTACCTTGAATGAAGATACATACAATCCAAAACCACATTTTAGTTTCAACATTTAAAGTCCTCATAATTCCACCAACACGTTCTACTCTTCAGATTACAAAAGATACTTGTTAAACTTTGAATAATATTCAATCAAAATAGATAGCTACTGTTGCACACATTTGGAAATGATTAACTGAAGTCATGAAGGAAAACCTGCTCATAACAAAATTCACATCCTTATTAACAGGTTTTGAATATATATATATTTAAATTCATATTCTGTTATAATATACTCAACTTGCACATTATGTCATACTTCATAAATATCACACCGTTACAAAGTAAACATAAGGGTAATAACAGCCCTTTTCTGTCTTCCTTATCCTATGTTGGTTGCAAGTAAATTGTTAAAGTCCAGATAAAATTGTTGGATGTATGAAGTTACCAACCCATTGACAACATTGATACCAGTATAATTGTTATAAGAATCCAACTGCCCCTAGGCCCCCTCTTTGGCTCCGCTACTGGTATCGTCCCAATGTCTAGGTATAACTCTAGTCTATTACCCCGATATCATTCTCAATGGTTCTATAAAATCTATTTACCGACGTACAATCCAATACAATTGCTGTATTTACAAATTACTGAAAGAAGGTATGAGGCAGAGTTTGTAATACGTTGATGATGAGTGCCAAACTGCTTCGAAACGTTGAACTAAATGGATTTTGGGTAGATCAGCTTTGTGTTTTTTGGTTTTATTTTAGCAAAACCGTACAAAGAACGCCGTTTCTTTCTACTGAAAGTCACATTACCTAGGCCAGTTCTTCAGTGAGACCGTTACTCCTTAGAAGAGTTCATCCAAACGTATCTCTCCCGAAAAAGCCAGAAGGATCTGACACTGTTAACTAAACCTGGAGTAGAAATTCCCTCTGTCGCTAAACTATAAGTGTGTAAATAGTTTCATGAGATGCTGAGACAGACAATGAGGACTCTTGTTCTTTACAAAAATAAAATGCATGAACAGAAAGTGACTTTATATGTACTGGCTGCGAGCCCGCCACATACGGCTCTCGTACGGCTGTGTGTTAAAGCAGCTTTTGTACTCTTTGACTAAGTTTCGATAGGGAAATCTTGTACTACTTGCTTTCAACAGCGTTCCCGGAAAACAAACTTGGACAACGTTCTCTGCCTCAAAACAAACACGGCTACGTTTAAACTACATACAGACCGACAGGAAACAACAATCTGTCGTAAAACATACATGGCTACGTTTAAACTACAGACAGACCGACAGGAAACAACACTCTGTCGTAAAACATACACGGCTACGTTAAAACTACAGACAGACCAACAGGAAACAACATTCTGTCGTAAAACATACGCGGCTACGTTTAAACAACAGACAGACCGACAGGAAACAACATTCTGTCGTAAAACAAACACGGCTACGTTTAAACTACAGACAGACCGACAGGAAACAACATTCTGTCGTAAAACATACGCGGCTACGTTTAAACAACAGACAGACCGACAGGAAACAACATTCTGTCGTAAAACAAACACGGCTACGTTTAAACTACAGACAGACCGACAGGAAACAACATTCTGTCGTAAAACAAACACGGCTACGTTTAAACTACAGACAGACCGACAGGAAACAACATTCTGTCGTAAAACATACACGGCTACGTTTAAACTACAGACAGGGCGACAGGAAACAACATTCTGTCGTAAAACATACACGGCTACGTTTAAACAACAGACAGACCGACAGGAAACAACATTCTGTCGTAAAACATACACGGCTACGTTTAAACTACAGACAGGCCGACAGGAAACAACATTCCGTCGTAAAACATACACGGCTACGTTTAAACTACTGACAGACCGACAGGAAACAACATTCTGTCGTAAAACATACACGGCTACGTTTAAACTACAGACAGGCCGACAGGAAACAACATTCTGTCGTAAAACATATACTGCTACACAGACAGACCGACAGGAAACAACATTATGTCGTGAAACATATACGGCTACACAGACAGGCCGACAGGAAACAACATTATGTCGTGAAACATATACGGCTACACAGACAGACCGACAGGAAACAACATTCTGTCGTAAAACATACACGGCTACGTTTAAACTACAGACAGACCGACAGGAAACAACATTCTGTCGTAAAACATACACGGCTACGTTTAAACTACAGACAGGCCGTCAGGAAACAATATTATGTCGTATAACATACACGGCTACGTTTAAACTACAGACAGGCCGACAGGAAACAACATTCTGTCGTAAAACATACACGGCTACGTTTAAACTACTGACAGACCGACAGGAAACAACATTCTGTCGTAAAACATACACGGCTACGTTTAAACTACAGACAGGCCGACAGGAAACAACATTCTGTCGTAAAACATATATTGCTACACAGACAGACCGACAGGAAACAACATTATGTCGTGAAACATATACGGCTACACAGACAGGCCGACAGGAAACAACATTATGTCGTGAAACATATACGGCTGCACAGACAGACCGACAGGAAACAACATTCTGTCGTAAAACATACACGGCTACGTTTAAACTACAGACAGACCGACAGGAAACAACATTCTGTCGTAAAACATACACGGCTACGTTTAAACTACAGACAGGCCGTCAGGAAACAATATTATGTCGTATAACATACACGGCTACGTTTAAACTACAGACAGGCCGACAGGAAACAACATTCTGTCGTAAAACATACACGGCTACGTTTAAACTACTGACAGACCGACAGGAAACAACATTCTGTCGTAAAACATACACGGCTACG